TAATTAGCCATTTAAGCAATATACGCCAAACCAATATAAGAAGTTAAAATTTGTAAATTATGTATTTAGTTGATTAAATAGAATATTGTACACGAGTCATAATTAATTTAAATAATACCTAACTATCACTCCAAACCAATTAAGTTAGTATAAGAGGAAAATTAAAATTTAATTATGCACACCTATTTTATATACCTACGGCTATTTCAGACATTTGGTATAAAGAATTGCAATTGACTTCATTAATATCTCTCTCTAATTAATTAGTAAGTCAGGGCGATTGTGTTTCTTTGCTTTTACTCAGTCTTTGATGATAAACAAATATTTTTGCAGCAACCCTACTTAGCACTTGCGAAATGTTTATCTCGAAGCGGTGGTAGAGGAAAAGCTTATGGGGGATATAAATACCACTCTTTTAAAAATAAATGGGGAAAATATTTTTTTCTTCTTAAAATAATAATATTCTGTCAATAATTGCTCAAAAGATTGCAGGTAGAGATAATTAAAAATATGAAGCTTAGACATCTGAAGATGCGTTCAAAAATCTTATTTTGAACGCATTTTCATCTGAATATGTATTTTATCCGTTAAAAAAATATTAAAAAAAAAGATTTGTTAAACCTTTATTTATTTCTTTGAAACTCAAAAGCCAAGTAAACAACTGAACTCACAAATTCCAAAATTATTTACTAACACCCTAAATGCCAACTAAAAGCAAACTACAGAGCAAAACTATGGAATCACTTACATGAAGTTGTTTCCACGCGAACTTGTGTACTAACGAATCGAGCAAAACTATGGAATCACTTACATGAAGTTGTTTCCACGCGAACTTGTGTACTAACGAATTTGTTAGTAACAAAAAAAGTGGCACCATTTTAAAGATTAAACTTTTATCTTTAAATTGATACAAAATTCATTTAAATCACACCGGTATTTAAAAAGATATCCCGGCTGATGTGAAGAAGTAACGAAAAAGACATGTATGAACTGTTTGATACGTCGCGAGTTGCGGCCTATTTACCCCCTATAAAAGCACGCGTTTTTAGATTTTTGCTTTCACACGTTGATTCATACACATCTCCGCTTCTTTTGACACTTTACCTGGGATTCTACACCTTCAGAAGCAGCACAAATCGTTGCACTATTGCAAGAAGGGCTCAGCCAGCGGGCTGTCGCACGTCAGCGCCACATAAGCCAGTCCTGGGTTTCGAAAGTTTTAAGACGCTTTCGGGAGACTGGTGGCTTTATCCCGAGACCAAGTTCTGAACAGCGCCGGCGCACATCGCAGAGGGAAGACCGTTTTTTCATGTCAACCTCTCTATGAAATCGTCATTTGACTGGAATCGATGTCCATCAAGAGCTCAGAAATGTTCGTAAGATAGCTGTTAGCGAGTGGACAGTTCGTCTAAGATATAAGCAATAGAATTTGACTCCAAAAAGGCCTGCCACAGGCTCGAAACTGACGGCAGGTCACCGATAAGCACCCTTTCAATTTGCTCGTACACATCTCGATGGGAAGGCGAGTAATGGAGGCAAGTTCTGTTCTCCGATGAATGCAAACTGTGTTTGCAGGGCAGCAGTCGAAGAGGTCGGGTTTATAGGCGGCCTGAGGAGCGATTTGTGCAGTGCTGGTTCGCTGAAACAGTGGCTTATGGGGGTGGCTTGCTCGACTTAACATCGAGATGTGTACGAGCAAATTGAAAGCGTGCTTATCGGTGACCTGCCGTCAGTTTCGAGCCTGTGGCAGGCCTTTTTGGAGTTAAATTCTATTGCTTATGTCTTAGACAAACTGTCTACTCGCTAACAGCTATCCTTCGAACATTTGTGAGCTCTTACTGGACGTCGATTCCAGTCAAATGACGATTTCATAGAGAGGTTGACATGAAAAAACGGTCTTCCCTCTGCGATGTGCGCCGGCGCTGTTCAGAACTTGGTCTCGGGATAAAGCCACCAGTCTCCCGAAAGCGTCTTAAAACTTTCGAAACCCAGGACTGGCTTATGTGGCGCTGACGTGCGACAGCCCGCTGGCTGAGCCCTTCTTGCAATAGTGCAACGATTTGTGCTGCTTCTGAAGGTGTAGAATCCCAGGTAAAGTGTCAAAAGAAGCGGAGATGTGTATAAAACAACGTGTGAAAGCAAAAATCCGAAAACGCGTGCTTTTATAGGGGCTAAATAGGCCACAACTCGCGACGTATCAAACAGTTCATACATGTCTTTTTCGTTACTTCTTCACATCAGCCGGGATATCTTTTTAAATACCGGTGTGATTTAAATGAATTTGGTATCAATTTAAAGATAAAAGTTTAATCTTTAAAATGGTGCCACTTTTTTTGTTCCTAACAAATTCGTTAGTACACAAGATCGCGTGGAAACAACTTCATGTAAGTGATTCCATACTTTTGCTCGCGAGTGTAGCAAACCTAAATAGCAACTTATAAGCAAGCAGACGACTCAAAGTTGGCTAGACGAGAGATTTTAATACAATTGACAATATCCGACCCATAGAGCGTTATAAAAACCTCCGCAAAAAAGGCAATAAAGATGGTTCAACTCTTCTTGTCATCATAGATAATAAAAGCCGAGAAATTAAAATGAGCGCGACGCGGTCAGTGTAAACAAGGGAGAAGGGGGCGATGTGGGTGGCAGCAATTTTATTTTCCAATGTCGGATCAATAGACAGAAGTAGGACGCAGGATATTACTGGACATTGAAATAAAAAGGCGTGCCTTAATTACGACCAGGCGCTTTGTTGCGCGGCCGGCCGTAAAAACTTGTGTTGCGGATATCCGAGCTGCGAGACTATTTGATTTGTTTTTGCGACGTTTTAGAATTTGTCCGATATCTAGGACAGTTTTTGGGCGTTTGGGATGTGACATAAATAGGGGAGAACTGAAAGTTAATAAAACGATGGCCTTGGTAAAATGAAACGTCCAATTTTGACACGAGCAGATTTATTAGTCTTTTTTTTTACGAGACAAGAGGCAAACGAGCAGATGGATCACCTTATGGTAAATGATTATCGTCTGTAGGCCCGGGGGCGTTACGAGTGCGTTGCCGGTTTTTAAGATACAAATAGCTCTCTTCTTGAACGATCTTGTAGGTCGTATCGGTTCGCAAATACCGCAGACAATAGTCTATTCCACAGTTTGGTTACGGATTATCATGATAACAATTCATCGAGTATACTACTCATTTTACGACAAAACAATAGATCTAAAAACAATATTAAACCTGTAACCCGTAAACGCCTGTTTCATCATTTCGCTCAATGCTTGTCAAGCAAATGCAGTCAACGGCGTAAAGGTCTGAATTTCAGTTTTCACTATTCCCCATCTTCCTTTATCGGGACGTTCGAACAATACATTATTCATCCGATGAATGAAAGTATCGGAGGCATTTGTTGTTACTCCTTTGCAATGCTGATTCTATTTGGAAAGTAAGAAGTTTCGCTTTCCATTCATGTTTTGCAAGCGATGTCGTGTGAGGCAGCGAATGGTACAGAATTTACGGCACTTTGTGATTTTGTTGTTCATTAGTTCCAAAAAGGTTGCGTTGCCACTCTTGGACATATTTATCTGTTTCGAAGACTATTTTAATTAGCAGAGTCTGTTTGTTATTCTGTCGTTTGTTTGATATACTTACTCGTATGTCATTTTGTAAACTTTTTTTCATTTAGTAGACTTTGTAACACCTTTTCAGCCGAAAGACGTCCACTGCTGGACAAAGGGCTCCCCCAAGGTTTTCCACAAAGACCGGTTCTGCGCCGCCCGCATCCAGGCAGCTCCCGCGATCTTCACCAGATCGTCGGTCCACCTAGTGGGAGGCCTGTCCACACTACGTCTTCCGGCTAGTGGTCGCCACTCATGAACTTTTCTGTTCCAGCGGCCATCACCGTTATTATTTTAATCATACTCACTCTAGTGCAGTGGTCGGCAACCTTTTGGCAGGCTAGGGTCACAAGGTAGCAAAACAAACTAAAGGAAGGCCGCACTTGTGATATTAAATGTAGAGCCGCGTTTTCTTATTGATTAATGCATGCATTTTCATATTTATAACTTATTCACAACGCCGCAAGTAGACGCGTGTTGCCGACCACTGCTTTACTATGTTAAAAAAAGGTTACAATAGTGAATAAAGTGTACTGAATTAATTATATTTTAAACCCTATGCAAGTTTTTTTGGATGAGTAAACAAACTGTGTTAATTTAAATACACATCATACGTAAATAGGCCTCGAATTGATGTGTACATTTATACACAAATATTCAGTTAATTATGAATTTAATATCGGGCTATTCTCTTGCCAACGCAATTTTATTCGTAATTCCGCATAATCTGTGGACAGGCTCGTTCGTGAAATAAAATCAGCGTGGCATTTTTTATAAATTAATTGTTAGCAATATGTGAATGAAATTACACGTTTTTATAGCATGTTTGTCATATGAAACATTAATTGAGTACCTTGTAAGCAAAATAGCGATCGCTACGGCCGTTTTCGGAGTTTTCGAGGAAACGTTTACCAACTTCAATAGTGACGTATTTCATTAATATATTAGCAATGATAGCACTTACCGCTTAGCGATTGCCATGTTTTCTTACAAGCGCTTTTTTCCGCCAAACGTCCCTATTGTTCTTGTTATTCTTATTAATTTTATAGACTACTAGCGGCCGCCCGCGACTTCGTACGCGTGGATCCCGTTTTACCCCCTTTTCCCGAATTTTCTTTGCTATAAACCTCACGGAGCCCGAGACCTTTCCAACGAATGCAAAACCGTGGAAATCGGTTCGTGCGTTCTGGAGTTATAGCGTCAGGGAGGAAAACCCGACTTATTTTTATATAGTAGATTTATATCAAATTTATAATTCAAACTCTAGTCTATTTGGTGTAGGTCTCAAAATCGACGTCACAGTAAGCGGTGGCCGCTACCGCTGCGAAGTTTCAGCGTACGCGCCATCTTTCCAAAATTGCAATTTAAACTCTATTGTATTTGTTTTAGGTGTCAAAATCGACGTCACAGCAAGTGGTGCTGCGGGAAGCGACGCGTGCGCTCGCCGGTCGCTACCGCTGCGAGGTCTCAGCAGATGCGCCTTCCTTCCACACACAAGTTCGGTCGGCGTACATACACGTTGTCGGTAAGTGCTAGTTTATAAGCTTAATTTATCAACGTTGGTATTAGGCTCAAAAATAATAAGTACGTAGCTTTTTTCTTCTTGAAAGTCAACGGCACTATTGACTGACCAAAACTTTACGACTCAAATAAGCCGTAGTTAGGTCTTACACTTTACTACATTTTACACAAGAGAAGAATTACAAACGATTGGTTCCTCGGAAAACTCTATTAGATTAGAATACCTAAGTTGTGTTAAGTAAAATTTTGACATATGAATTAATAACACGAAAATTTCTAATACAATTTGAAATAATAGAGCATTTATTGAGTGCCATTTAAAGGGTAAATACTTTAATTAATAATTATCGATGATGAACGCATTATTTACATGCAGTATGCTTGCGGTATATAGGTACTTGTTAACGTTATGCAATAGTTAATTTTACAGTTGGAAATTAAATTATTAACGGTAATTTATCATTCGGTTGAGTGAAGCACTCGAACGTCCACAGGACGGATGATAATAAAATATTGATGATTTTTGTTAAATTAATGGTGCGAAGTTTTTGTGTAATTAAATGGAGTTATCATTATTAGGTATTGAATGAGATTTTTTAATCTAATTAATTACTGAATTAATGTGTATCATTCTATTTTAACGCCACACAGCATGATGAATTTGTCCACTAGGACAAAATCCTCTTCGATTAAAATAGAAAAAATATCCAAAATTAATCAGGGGTAATATAATTTTTTGGAGGTAAATCTGTTAGCGACATTGGGGGGCTAAATATTTAAACGGTAATTTTCAAAGTGTGGTTAACTTTTTATTGATAAAACCGGTTGACCCATCGACATGATTCTTTTGAACTAAAGCATGGTATGTAGAGTCCTAAGATATTCCAATAAACATGACATTAGTGGCAAACATTTTTCAAACATCATCTTTACGACAATGAAAAGGCCAGTACGCCCATAATTTCCAATCAAAAGTTTTGTCCTAAAATAACAAAAAAGTGCCGACACGCATGTTTGCCTTCGCTGTCACGATGGGACGGGATCGATGCGACCGCGGGGTTATTACGTATGGATTAAGACAGACACCCGTATTCACAAATGATGCTTGCTTAAGTTAAGCAGCAAATCGAACGCACAGAGTGAATAGAGCTCTGTGATTGGTTAGTGTGTCACCCTTTGCGTCCATGCACACTGTGAGGCCTCATAATAATGTTTGTGAATATGGGCGAGAAACTCTTGATTGACAGCACCACTCTTGTAGCGGAGTTTTGGGCTAACACTGTATAGGTTTGTTGTCGACACGACAAGAAGAAGACAGAAACTTCATTAGGCATTTTTCTTGGAACAGAATCCTCTTAATTATTAAACTGTTATTTGTTATGCATAAATAACCTGCCTTGCCTTGTTATGCATAAAAAAAAAATTAAATATTTCAATTTTATTTCAAGATTTTACATAATATGCCAAACGGCTCTTCTTATGTTTCAAAACCGATAGCAACCAGGGCCGTTCTTAACCTTACTAGGCACCCTGGGACAAGGATCAAGGGGGGCCTTAATCATCTGGAAAAAGTTATTTTGAGTCGCGGGACGGGATGTGCTCAAAATGCCCAGTGGGAAAGAGGGGCCTGATAGCAACTACATAGTGACTGGTCGCGATGACTTTTCTTAACCCACGAGTCGGTTATGCAAATTGTGCTCGTATAGATTGGATGTGTGCCGATGATGTTGTTATAGTTTGGCCGAGACTTATTGTGATGCTCGCTATGGGAGAGGTCAGGAAAACAATTTCTGCAAACAACTTTGGGTCTACGTACTTAGTAATTGATTTGATTAGCTGTATTGTGCATTTTGTAAGTTTGATGTTTCTACAGCAAAGTTTTTAGGAATATTATTTATTTATTTATTTTATTATTATTATTATGAATGGTTATTAGTAGGACTTTGTCAAGTTGTAGAGTTCTCGACTATTAAGTTACTCTTTCACTACTGGCTATTGGAAACCAAAGTGCGCCTCTCTATAGATACGGGGTATTTTTACGCTGTCGAAATTTGTGCCCCACTTTACATCAAGATATTTCAAAAAGTATGAGACTTACGATATTGAGGAATATATTCTGTAACTAAAGTAGTTTCATAATTACATGCGCATTTTACACTTCATTTGAATTTTTTTTGTTTTTTTTTTGACGCAAACCGTGATTTAGGCTTTGCCAAACCAACAATATATGCCACCCGTATTGAGAAGTGACTTTTGATTTGGAATCAATAGGTGCCTCCCGTAGGAAAAAGGTTAAAATTTATCTAGGAAGGCACTCAGATTATGATATTTGCTTATCTGCTCTAATTCATTTTAGTCAGCTAGAAGTATTCGACAAACGAATTCTCTAGACATAGACGTATTAAAACAACGCTCAATAGATAGGGCGTTTTCATTAATTCTCAGTAAGTTAGTTACTACAAAGCTAAAATTCCTGGAATATCTATTTTTAACTTTGACCTTACCTCGTTTCAGCTAGTACTGAAAAGAAGTACAAGTAAAGTTCTTAATAAATTATGAACGATTCAATTAACTTTACACAAAATTGGTTTATAATTATGTGTGACTTTTGTTAAAAAATCCCACATTTAATAATAAAATATACGTAGTACCTAACCATTTTTAGAACGAAAAGAAAAAAATATCGATAAAATGTGTAGAGAAACTCTATAAATTTTACGTATCTTGATTTGGCTTGCCTAAGTTGGGTTCAATTCATTATTCCATCATCATCATCATCATCTCAGCCAGAGGACGTCCACTGCTGAACATAGGCCTCCCCCAATGCTTTCCATGTTACCCGGCCTGCGTCCAGCGCTTTCCTGCTACTTTATTCTATGATGTCGTCGGTCCACCTTGTATTATTATTACCATTATTCCATCAAAAGAACAAAATACAAAAAATCTACTGGAGCACTGAAGATTATTTTATTCAATGATATTAAAGACTTAGAGATTACTAAATTAAGTACACTATATTACAGCCTCACTCCGCTCATTAATAACAGAAACGTTAAAAGAGCCCTATAAAAAAGTACGGGCCCATAATAATAAAGCGAGTCCGGAAACTAATAGTTTGCTCGGGTTGTAAATGAGAGCGAATTTATTTCTTCCGAACGGTTTTCGGCCAGCCGTCGTGAGAGAATCGGGGGTCCGTCTCAATTGGAGAAAAGAAACCCTGGATTATTATTATGTCGTTTAGTGACTTTTAGTATTGCTTTTTGATAAAAAACAACAATTTGATATCTACTAGCTGCCTTGGCCAACCTTGTCTGCCAATGTTCATCAGAAAATATGATGTAAGACTCATAAGTTGAAATAATATATTTTCAATTACCTAGGTACACAAATTTTATAAAGAGTAAAGATTTGACTGTTTTTTGTATTGAATAAACTTTGAAACTAAGTTTATTCAATACAAAAAACAGTCAAATATTTACTCTTTATAAATTGTAGATAGTTTAGACAAATTATCATAAAATAATACTCAATATCATCCTGCCTGTACAGTCCCATTTTTTAGAGAGACATACCCTTTTCTATTTCTTCTTACTTCACTTTCTTATTTCACTTTTTAAGCATTTTATGTTACACTTTAAGAATAATACGTCAGAAATATTTGATAAATGAAAAAGTCCTATACTCTCAAATTTCCTGGGCGTCTACGTAAATATTTCTATAGTTATTCTACGGAACACTTCCAACATAAACCCAGTTAACGCTCCCCAATTTTTTACGTCCAGACTTTCTGTCGATGTAGAATTGAAACATGTCTATATAATATTGGTAATATACTTCGTCTCTATTTTATACCTTGTGGAAGAGTTTTATGTGTAAAACTTGCCCGGACCAGTTCGATGCTAATGCCGATAGTGATCTGTTGATGGCCAAGTTATTGAAATTCAAATTTATTTTATAGATCCCTGACTTATACAGTGTGAGTCACGTTAAAGTGTACATATGAAAAAAGATGAAACTAGACCTATTTTTATCGACAAAAAAGAGGTCAAAAGTTTTTTGAATTTTTTTTTTAATTTTTTATCGAATTTTTTTTCTTCCAATTACCTATTGTAAAGAAAACGTAATAACTTTTAAACTAAGCGGTATATCCTGATAAAATAAAAACAGTAATAATGCTAAATAACAGGCGATACTAAAAACATACATAAAATACACAAAAAAGGCCAACAAATAATAAAAAATGATACTATTTGAAAAAATCTGCCTAAAAAATTCGTGTTTTTTTGGTTATTTGATAAATTTCTCCAAAAAATGCCCCTATAACTGGTAGTTTTTATTACTTTGTATTATTCTCTATCGTATTACCTTCGTAAAACCAAAAATCGCATGTCCCTATCCCTATCACAACGTTTGCAATGATTGTTTGAACTAAGCCTCTCCGGGCGCGCCATTCAACGCTTCGTTAACAACGAAAATGAAAATGGCTCTAGATTTGTAATTTTGATAAAGACAAGTTAGATTTCAAATAAAAACAAAAGATTTCGAAGTAAAATAAGCATTTTAGTTAAAATTAAAATTGTCTCTACCTGTAGCGGAGAATAATGTTGTGGCAGGCCTTTGTTCAAACGATCATAGCAAATGTTGTGATAGGGATAGAGACATGCGATTTTTGGTTTTACAAAGATAATACGATAGAGAATAATACAAAGTAATAAAAACCATATGTTATAGGGGCATTTTTTTGAGAAATTTATCAAATAACCAAAAAAGTACGAATTTTTAAGCAGATTTTTTTCAAAAAGTCTCATTTTTTATTATTAGTTGGCATTTTCTGGGTATTTTATGTATTTCTTTAGTATTGCCTGTTATTCAGCATTATTAATGTTTTTATTTTATCAGGATATACCACTTAGTTTAAAAGTTATTAATTTTTCTTTACAATAAGTAATTGGAAGAAAAAAAATTCTATAAAAAATTAAAAAAAAATCTCAAAAAATTTTTGACCTCTTTTTAGTCGATAAAAATAGGTCTAGTTTTATCTATTTTCATATGTACACTTTAACGTGACTCACACTGTATTGTGCTGATGACATAAAAAAGTTTCGGGAGCACCCGTTAGCCTCATAAAAGTGTGTTAAATGTGCCAATGGAATGACCATTTAGTTATCCGTAAGAATAAAGTATTTGATGTTTAAAGACTAGAATACTTTTATTTATTAGAATAATCGTACGTACCTTAGTATAATCTGCAATATCACTCCTGTTTAGGTACTATCACTAACTCACGTTACAAGGTTAATTTTTAAATTCAAACTTTTATTGCACATTACTTGATGGTACACACGCTTTTTGCAAAGAGAAAGAGAGAGAGAGGTACGTTTTATTCTGGCATGTGCAATGTTATCAACTTAGGGATGCTTAGACCTGCTTCTACTCGTAGATCGAAATAAGTAAAACGCAACCACTGCTTTGCATGTATTGTCGCCCTATTTACTACCAGGAAACGCACGGTGCGCTTTTAAAGACGGGGAAATTCGTCGACCACAGAAGTAAATGTTGTGTGTAATTTTGTTTTTCATAACAAAATAACAAAACAACTTGTCAAAGTGTCACGTCGTGTGGAAAAACGTCAACCACAAAAAACTGATTTCCCTTTTCTCCCGTCCAAAATAGAGCGTGACAAGTGAATGACAAGTGGGTTGGCCAACTAGTGCAACTTGGCGCATTTTCAACCCTCTGTGGTCGAATTACTTAAGGATATTTGTTCGACAAATGTTTTTGGTGTGCCAAAACCCGCGGCGATCCCGTATTTTCTGTTTAAGTTGGATTTTCAATAACGCAAGATCGAAAACCGATTGGACTCGTGTGCCAGAGCTATGATGGATAGAATTGTTAAACAATGCACTGTAAATGTCGAGGAATGATAGAAGCTAAAAGAAATCCATTAAATGATGCAATTATGATACAAAATGCCATTGTAGTTATGAATTTCTTTGTGTACAAATAAATTAAATCTGTAAATACACCCACCCAGAGAGAAAGAAAGGTTTTGGAAACCTTTCAAACTATACAATTGCACAGGATTTAAAAGGCTTTAGCTTTCCCTGAATCAAACGAAAAATAAACAAAAGAACCATTTTCATGCTTTTGTATAATGTAATTCAATACCAGAAAAAATCTAAGCTTCACTTTTGATTATCGAGTTCTTCTTACCGAAACTCAAAAACATTTCTACAAAAACTGAATTCAGAACTAGCAAATAACTAATCGTACAACAATAATATAATTCAACGTACTGGAATAAACACATAATAAACAGATATCATAAAAAGTAAAACCATTTTCATTCTAAAATTTCAGTGATGTTTAATTATTACAAATTATGTAGTTGTACTGAGACTTAATTATGTTGTTAAAGCACCTAAATCACATTTTATGAATTTATGTTATAACGTAGGTATACGCCCGTGATTTTAATGAAAATTATTTTGTTGGTTTAATTCTACACATCTGTTCATTATAAAGTACCTATAATAAATGTGTGCAAATAGTAATGATTAAGTTTGTATATTATTATTACATTTTCACGCCTCAACTACATATCTTTTTGTAACATAGGATGGAAGTTCATGAGAATTCCAACATGTTTCAATGGACGTATTGACACAACCCGTCAATTGACGTACTTTTTAAAACAGTCACAACGAAACTCTCCTATAGATTTTGTATGGCAATAGAAGCAAGTTTCGTCACTACCTATTTTGTGCAACCAAAAATCTTATTTTATAGGTAACTAGCTGACCCGGCGAACTTTGTTCCGCCTTAATGGCAATAAATAAGCAGACTTTTTTTTTCGAACGGGATAAAAAGTATCCTATGTCTTTCTCCTGGCTCTAAACTACCTCCCTGACAATTTTCAGCTAAATCGGTTCAGCCGTTCTTGAGTTATAAGTGCAGTAACTGTGCAGTTTCACGACCAGAATGAAGTGTCTTTTTAAAAAGTCATTATTTCGAATTATCAAATCAAAGTCAAATCGTCTATTCAAGAGTATGAAACAACCCGGACTAGCGCAGTAATTCACAATTTCTTTATTTGTTTAGACTAATAAATAGTTCTTACAAATCGTCATTATTTATCTATTACTTATTAAGCTGGCACACCGACTATACGTCACTCAGCGAGAACAAGACTATTTCACAAAAAAGTAAAACGTACCTACCTATGATCTTCTGCTCGATTGCCCTGCGATCATGAAGATAGCTGACAACGGTTTAGTGAGAAAAGACTAAGGTTGGGTTGCACCGTCTTACTGTAGCTTTAACAAACGTCAAAAATCTGTCAAACTACAATACAAAAAACACCGGTTATCGATAAAGTTACCGTTATAGTTAGGTGGTGCAACGTGCAACTCAGCCTTAGGCTAAGTGGCACAACCCAGCCTTAATAATCACGCATATCAATCCAATCACATAACTTCTTCCATAAGTATATCAACTTACAAAAACAGTCGTCGACAGCCGCATCGGTCCAGATCGGATC